TTGTTCTTTGCCAATTCTTTCAATGCACTTTGGACTTCCTCCCTGGGTATCATTGGCTCTTGTTCATATGGTACCTCTTGAAATGGTTGAACATTACCCATTTCCTTTTGGTACAATGACTCTGTGTATTCCTTCCATCTTTGCTTAATGCATTCTACATCATTCAATAATTTGCCCAGAGAATCTTTCAATAACGAAAGTCAAGGCTTGATTTTTTTTTTCTTCAGTTCCCCCAGCTTGAGAAATGCTGTGTTCTTCTAACTCCAAATCTTTGCATATTTTATTATAGTATTTGGTTTTATCTTCTTGAGCTGATCTTTGAAATTTTCTGTTCAGCTCTTGGATCTCTTCAATTCTTCATGCTGAGCAAATAACCCAAGAAACTGGATTATATGAAGAAGAAAATGGCCTCAGGACTGGAGGAAGACTCATTCATACCCTGTGGTATGTAATACAGTCTTATTCACTGAAAGCAGAGATTTAAAATACTGATAGAGATCAAAGACTACAGCCATCAGTATGGATTGTAAAGATAATAAAAATCCTCACAGCTCAGCCAGTAAAGAACATCATGATAAATGAAGAAAAGTTTGAAGTTCAAGACTTCATTTTGCTTAGTTCCACAGTCAATTCATGGAAGTGGTGGTAGTTGGTGGTTGTGTGCCACGGAATGTGTTCTGACTCATAGCAATCCCTGTAGAGGGTTTCAGAGGCTGTAAATCTTTATGGGGGCAGAAGGCTTCATCTTTCTCCTTAGGAGCCGCTGACAGATTTGAACTACTGACCTTGTAGTTAGCAGTCCATGTTATAACCCACTATGCTACCAGAGCTCTGGCTCATGGAAGCAGCAATCAAGAAATTAAATGACATGTTGAATTGGGCAAATCTACACAAGTCTTCTTTTCAAGAGCAAAGATATTAATTCGAGAACTAAGGTGTGTCTGACCCATGCCATGATGTTTTCAATCGCCTCTTGTGCTTGTGAAAGTCAGGGGCAATGATTAAGGAAGACTGTAGAAGAGTTAATTCATTTTAATTATGACGTTAAGAGAAATACACTGAAAGTACCATTGATTGTTAGAAGAGCAAACAATTCTATTCAGGAAGAAGTACATCCAGAATGCTTCTTAGAGGTGAGGGTCTCCAGATTTCTCTTGTACTTAGGAAAGAACTATCCCTGGGGAAAGACATCATGCTTGGTAGAGTGGAAGGTCAGTGAAAAAGAAGACCCAGAAACAGCAACAGTGGGTTAAAACATAACCATGTTGAGGATGGCACAGGACCGGGCAGTGTTTTCTTCTGTTGTGTGGTCACTATGAGTTGGAACCCACTAGAAGACAATAGTAAGTATGTTCGTTTTCATTTAAATTGTACGTTTATTTGGAGTGGTTCAGGCTGAAGGGAGCAGGAGACATGGAGATATGAGTCTTCATTTAAGGCCGTGACTGTCCCCCGCCCCCCACCCCCAGACTGAATTTCTTGAGAGCTGAGTTCTGTTTATTTCATCTTCTCCTAACACAATGCTTGGAGCCAACTGAAGAATTTAATAAAGTTTCTTGTAATCGTAATTTAGAATTAGGGATTCATTGATAATTTGGGCGAATGAATAAGAAGTTTCTTATGGGCTTTTGATAGTCTAACAGTTGGAAACACAGAGAAACCAATAAAAAAAAACCTGGAAAAAACGAAGTCGAAAACACCTTTCTTGACCAAGCTCTAAAATCTATTCGTGAGTGCCTTTAGACATTTGGCTTTGCCACCCCGCCCCCCCCCCCCCCTTTTTTTTTTTTTTTTTGGTCTACATTTAAAGTAATAAACCTTGAACGTCACTGATGCAGACTTCAGAGACAAGCATTACGGCGAGGTCCAGTACACACTTTGGTGCGTTTAATAATACCAAAGCAACAAGCAAAGGTAAGAAAAAGGACTGCAGTGAAGCACTGCTACGACAGTTTAATGACCGCTGGATTATTGGACAAGGGCGACATTCTCGCTATCCAATGGCCAGGAAGGCCAAAGAGAAGGCTGTCTGGATTGGTCGCAACAAACATCTCTCTAAATTCATTCAAGAAGGGACTTATCGTGGAGCTTGGCTGGTAGCCTTATGGCCAATCAGAGAACGTACAGGGGCGGGCCTTGCCTCAGGGGAGTAGAGTTTATCTCACAAGCGGGGAAGGAAGGCGGTGTGGCCTCGAGCCTCAGCCTCCCGGCGGGTGTGCAACCGCGCGGATTGGACGGGGCACGCGAGCCGGGGCGGGGCTCGCGGTGTCAGCCCCTGAGCCGGATACGGGCGGCGCCGCTCCCGCCGCGGCCCTCAGGATGGGCGGAGCCCCAGCCGCTGGTGCTGGTGGCAGCCGCCGCTGCTGGACCCTGAGCACATCTTCTGCTCCCGAGGGTCGCTGCTTCTCCGGGCGACGGTATGCTGGGGAAAGGAGTCGTCGGCGGTGGCGGCGGCACCAAGGCGCCCAAGCCCTCCTTCGTGTCGTACGTGCGTCCCGAGGTGAGCGGCCGCCGCGCAGCGGGCTTGATGGGCTCAGGAGCGCGGGAACCTTGTCCCCGCCGCCAGAGGGCCGTGGGGTGCTTCCTGCCGGCGTGCGGGAGGGTGAGGTTCGTAGGGGCGCGCCAGGGCCTCCCCGCGGGCCGGGGTGGATGTCCCCGGTGCGGATAGGCAGGTTGCCGAGCCAGGCCCCGGCCCGCCGGCGGCCGGGTGAAGAGCCCCGAGCCGTGGGAGGTCGGCCTGGGGCACCCCGGGCCACTGCGGAGAGGAACTTAGGTCCAGGCTCCACTACTAGGGGGAGACGCCGGGTGGGCCTGCCCAGAGTCTGCACCGGGGTAGGCTGATGTTTGCCCTGAGCCTGGAATTCCTCAGTGACTCCGGTGCTTTTGAGAAGAGTGCTGTGTGGTGCCCACCAGCACCGGAGAGAAGCAGCAGATCTGCCCCGGTCAGCGTGGGCTCTGCAGCCCCCTTAGATGCCTTCCTGCCTCTGCCTCCTTTCCCCCTTTCCTTTTACCGGTTCACCATCACCATCATCTCCCCCGCGCCCCCATATCCTTTAAATAGAATTTCCTCCTGGAAATGTATTGCCAAGTTCATTCATTCATTCAGAAAATATGTGTTGAGTTCCTTCTCTTGTTTCAGCCAAGGTTCTAAGCACTTGGGCTGTGTATCAGTGTATCTGATCTTTGCTTTCTTGGTCCTTAATAAAAGTAAATTGTATGGCAGATTATGGTTGTTACGTTTTGTCGAGTCGGTTCTGACTCAGCGACCCCATATAGGATGTCCAAGGAGCGGCTGGTGAGTTTGAACTGCTAGCTTTGTGGTTAACAGCCCAGTGCTTATCCTACAGCACCACACCACGACTCCATATGGCAGATTGTTACTGTGTTTAAGTGCCGTCGAGTCGGTTCTGACTTATACTGACCCTATCTAGGGTTTCCAAGGAGCTGCTGGTGGGTTTGATCCCCTGAACTTGTTATCCTTTGAACAAAGTCTTGAAGAATAGGAAGGCATCTGAGTGAAGAGTGGTCTCCGTAGAGGAAACAAGCTACCTTGGGAGTGTTGGAGGAGTGTCAAAGAGGCAGGTGGTGGACAGACTTTGTGGGCTATGCTAAGGGCTTCTTGAGCTAACCTACTAACCAGATGCCTCATTAGATGCATTCTTATTTTGCATATGTGCAGGTTTTTTCTGCTTGTCTCTCCAGCACTTTAATCAGCATCTTGCAGAGCATTGGTAGTGTAGTGGTTACTAGTCAGGCTGCTAATCTCAAGGTCAGCAGTTCGAAACTACCAGCTGTTCCACAGGAGAAGGACGAGGCTTTCTGCTCTTGTAAAGATTTACAGCCTCGGAAACCCTATACAGGGTCACTATGAGTCGGAACTCCACGGCACATAACCACCACCACCTAATTCTTTGCCTCTGATTATCTTCCCTTCTTGGTAAAGCAATGGCACAAAGGCTACAGGTGAGAGGCCTTGATTAAAGGCTGCTCCGGTAGGACTTTTTGGGCCTGAAGCCTTTGCATTGTTGTTGTTAGGTGCCATCAAGTTGGTACTGACTCATAGCTACCCTATGCACAGCAGAATGAAACACTGCCTGATCCTGGACCAACGTCACTATTATTGCCTCGCTTGAGTCCATCGATGCTGCCACCTGGCCAATCCATCTCACTGGGGGTTTTCCTCTTTTTCTCTGACCCGCCACCTTACCAAACATGATATCCTTCTCCAGCGACTAGTCATCTGTATCTTTAAATTTCAAAGTGTATATTCCCCAGTGGAGACCACCCTTGATAGGAGTCTTATTTTTAGGTGTGAATTTTAAACCAAAAACCACTTCCTCTGTTAGTTAACACTTGACAATGCGTCTGGGTCATCTTACATTTTCTGCTGGCTTCCCAGTTTCATGGTGTTAAGTAATGTGTTAGGTTTCTCTTTGTGTCTTTTTTTTAATTGAATCCTTCCTTGGTTGAAGGGCTACAGATATCTAACCTTTTCTCTTCCATGAGATTAAACTACAAGTAGAAAGTCTCCTGAAATGTAGCCAGCATTCAAGAATGTTCAATTCCTCATCCACCAAGTGTGCATGTTATAATTAGACATGTTTTCTCTCTTTGCCTACAGTGGCTGATATATTTCCTTTGAGGGATAATTAGGGAAGGGGAGTGGTTCAGTCCAAGAATAAGCCTGCAGTGGTCACATTTTTCAGATCCTTATAGTTGGCAGTTTTGTTTTCTTGCATGAAAATAATGCTGGGTAAACACGATTCTTCTTCGCTGTCATGTGTCTCTAAAAATACTTTCTGAAAGCATAAAGATCTGTTCTGAGTTGTAGCTGTATTTTCAAAGATAAGGCGAGGAGAGGGTAAGAAAGCAAATGAGTTTGAAGTGTATAGTTTTGCCGGCAAGAAATTTGGATCTTTTTTTCTTCATCACACGTTTGGGGATGATGTAAGTGGCATTGAAGCACAGCCTATGTGCTGCTGAGCAATGGGTCTGATAACCTTCTGTGGCCTCACTCAAGTGGAGTCCTTCAGAACTCAGCCACAAACTCACTCTTCTGTCTCCCACAACCAGCCTTCAGGTCTGCTGCCTTTGAAGTACATCTTGCTATCACTTACTTCTTTCCATACCCTTTTCTTCTCTTAGCTCGGAGCTGGCACAGCTTCTCAGGTGCTGTCTTGCTGGTAGATCTCTGAGCTTCTAGAACAGCGTTTTGCCTTCTGATGCAGTGATACCTACCCTGGTGATGAACTTGGATATGGGTCATCAGATCTCAGGAGGGTCAGTAGCATCTGCCTTCAATATGCCAGAGTCTATCAAGAGTCAGAACTGTGTGTCAAAAACAGAAGCCCTAAACTGAAGAAATTGTTTGAAGGTGATGCTTTTAAACATGATGGGTTTACTCTTCAACCCTCCTCATCAGAACAGATTGGCATGGGGCACCTGTAAATGAGGATGGCCATTCATTCCAAGTTAATTTTAAAAGGGGACCTTTGCCAGTGTAACACTGGCTCTTCTGCCATTGATTCTCCTAAGCCAGTAACTGTGAATGTGACTTTTGAACTGTAATCTAGACCCTTTGATCATGTTTTGTAAACTCTCTACTCAGGGAATTACAGATGAGTAAGGCAGGGAAGTGGGAAGTTGATGGCTCAGGATGCTGAGGAGAATAGGTGGTGGGATCTAGAGCCATCTTGGTGGTACCTGTGACTGGTACCTAAAAGCAGCTGGCACTCCCATCCCAGCTGAGCCCCAGGTACAGGATGCCTCTGAGCTGCGAACTGCTGGGTGCAGCAGTCTGTTTCAGGAAGCCATTTAGTGATGGCTCAAGTGCCTAATCCATCTGCCTTGTTAAGTAAAGCATCTGATGAAATGATTATCACATCAGAAGCTGTAAGTATTCATTGTAGAAAAATATGAACATACACAGATAAGCAAAAAAACTTTATAAAAGAAAAAGTGTAAACTTACAACTTGGAATATATTCTGTCATATACATATGTAGCTATACCTGTTATTTTTTAACAAAATGGGATTTAGTATTGTTGATCATATTATTTTGTACTCCACCCTTTTCACCAAAAATATATATTGTAAACATCTTTCCATGTCAATTATTAAATTAGATCTATTTCCTCTACAGCAACACCCAGTTTGATGGGGAGAAGTTGGGTAACACATAGAGTCAAAGAAAGCAGTGTGACTTTTAAATGGTTCTCTACTTAGTCATCTGTCATGGAAGAAGTGCATTCAGAATTCTCCTTAGAAGCTAGGATGATGAGGCGCTTAAACTATTACTACTTAGGATATATTATAGGAGCCTGGTATGGTGCTGTAGGATCAGCACTTGACTGCGAACCGCAAGGTCAGCAGTTCAAACCCACCAGCTGCTCCTTGGAAATCCTTGTTATGTGCCATCGAGTCGGTTCCGACCCATAGCGACCCTGTACAGGGTTTCCGAGGGTGTAAATCTTTACGGGAGTAGAAAGCCTTATCTTTCTCCCACGGAGCAGCTGGTAGTTTCGAACCTCTGACCTTAAGGTTCGCAGCCCGATTCATAACCACTATGCTACCAGAGCTCCTTGGAAATCCTAGACAGGGTCATTATGAGTCGAAACTAATTTGATGACATTTAACAACGACAAGATAGGAGCTCTGGTAGTGTAGTGGGTTACGAGCGGGGCTGCTAACTAGTCACTGAATCTACCAGTTGCTCCATGGGAGAAAGAGAAGCCTTTCTGCTCCCATTAAGACTTAGAGCCTTAGAAACCCTATATAAGGTCGCTATGAGTTGGAACTGACTCACTGGCATAGAGCCGCCATGGATCATCAGGAGGGACTAGTCTCTGGAGAAGGTCATCATGCTTGATGAAGTGTAGGGTCAGCGACAAAACCAGTGGGCTCAAGCATAACGATTGTGAGGATGGTAGGAGACAGGTTCATTCTGTCGTGCATAGGGTTGGGTCACTGTGAGTCAGAACCCACTTGACAGCACCTAATAACAACAACTACCAACTTAGTCATCTTAGATGCTCAGTGACAGTCCTGATTCTGCCAGACTTGAACATAAAGTGCAAACACTGCTTTGATACCTGTGTTTGGAAATGACTGTTCCTTGAACTTGTAAGGAAAGGACATTCGTTGTTGTTGTTAAGTGTCGTTGAGTCAGTTCTGGCTGCTAGAGACCCTTTACATGGTTTCTGAGGAGCAGCTGGTGGGTTTGAACCACTGATCTTGTGGTTCGCAATCCAGTGCTGATCCTGTGGTGCCACAACAGTAGTCGTACGGAAGCCTCTCTGATTTAATAAGAGTTCACTATGATGAGAGAGTGGAATAAAGGCTTCTGGGGCTTTCGTGTTTTCTTTGAAAGTAAGACCAAAAAACTTTAGCTTTTAGAGTGCCACACAGGTAACTCCTGCCTTATGACAGGGTCCCATTCTGATGATTCCACCGGAAGGCTATTCTGACATCACTCCAATATCTCATTTTTTCCCCCCTGTT